CCATCCACTAAACCACGATGAGCAAATGTCGGAGAAAGGTACATCTCGATATTTTCTGGATATATGAGAAGTAGTTGAGGCATTTGTTCAATATTGAGAGTTCCTAAACAACGTCTGTTTGTGAACAAGACTAGAACCACATCATACTCAGTTTCGTAATTTTTCACCGATGCCATTGTCGTTTCATACCATTTTTTAATGAATGGTGTGGAAATAGTAGTTGATGCATCGCGTTCTGAATACTTGATTTGTAAAAAGATCGCTAATTTCTTTTCAATATCAGAGGAATCGAGAACCCAGCGGTGAATAATATTAGCATATCCTCGGTAACAGCGGAAAATACCTTCATCGAATGAGCGAGTCACGTTATCATCGCATAATATCAACTTGTCGAAATTTGCAACGCTGTCTGTTCGTTGAAGAAACTTCTCTTTCTCGGTAAAGACCTTGAGTCTGCGTAACCGTACTCTGCGTTGAAGAAGCGTGTCAACACCTATCGCGTCACGAAATATATCAGATAGTCGCCAGTTCATGTTTATTTGACTAATAAGATTTTCTTCTCGAATTTTGATTTCATCATTGATTTGCAATCGTTTATTAGCTTCAACTTCTTGTTGTAAGCTCGATTGGAGTAGCTGAATTTTATGCTGAATTGACAAAACCATCGACCTCTGAACTTCGATTAAACTATCAATAATGGCTTTTTGGTAATATATGTATAGAAGTTCAAAGTTTTGCCATTGCCAAGGGGAATCATGTGTCGGGATTAAGAGGAGGTGATCTGGAAACACGGTTTCTACTTGAGAAACAAGGAGCTTGTTGTTGAGTATCTTCAGCATCATGAAGGGCATAACAATAGTATACCATTCATCTTCAGAGTTGGAGAGATAAATCAAACCAGCTCGCTCGAGTTCACCAATGGAAGTACGGCTGGGTAGTAGAAAGTCTCGCTTAACAAGTTGCCTAGTAAGCCCAAATGAGATTACGGTACGTATATCATCCAACTTCTTCCAATTACCCGGAGCATTCCCAACTGTAGCAACAGTCCGCTCAGACATTGAAATAAAAAGATGATTCCCCCAATCAAAATTTGACATGAGCAAAGTAGGTTGTAAGAGATCATCAATGAATTTCGGAATGAAGCCAGAGTCAAACATGGCAATGCGAAAGTGTTGTTGGTTTAGGACCAAGTTACAAAGCTTCATTGAAAGATCATTGACATCTTCACCAAAAGTAAATGAGTAATGTTTTTTGAGACCTTGAGTCACTAGCTCTCTATTGCTTTCGGTTGTTTGCCTCGAATAATTATACTTGTCAAGAAACATTGACTTTGCTGAATCATAATTTAAAGGTTTGAGCTCCAACCTTTTATTCGTATGCTCTGTAGGTAAAAAATGAATGTCAATTGCAGAAGTTCCTGTACAGATTGGGATGATAAAATATCTGCCGTTAAGCCCGTGATACGAGTTGCCTGCATGTCCACTTTCTGTTTTTATCATCATGTTACCACGCATGACACTACCAATCTCTCTTAGCATTGATTTGAAGTAATCGCGAGCATCTTCCCACGATGCTTGTTGGTACTTTCGAACATCATTAATATACAGCTGATATTCGTCAAGGTGGATGACGATGGCCTCAACTGAACGTTGTTTTGTTTTAAAACGACGTTCAAGAATCTCGTAAATCACGTCAGGAAGGCGAAAAAGCTTAATGTTCATCTCTGACAAATCGGATAGGCTCTCAGACACCAAACCTGAAGACACCGCAACACGTGTCCCGATTCGCACACTTGATTCTGCAGCTTCATCAAACCCCTCAATATACTTACTTCCATTATTCAAATCAATGAATATATAGCAGGGATCTTTCAGAGCTTCAACAAAATCATCAGTGTCGCTATCTTTTGCTTTCAGACTGGAAAACAAATGTTGTGATTCCCACCCCATACGTGTCTTTCCTATTCCTATCCCTCCAGGAATTAGAATAAATTCGTGATCTTTGTGGTCGGAACTTTTGCGCCCGGCGTAGTTCGTGCGAGCAACATTTAGAATTGAATTCAGAGCTTGATCACGGTCATAGAACTTGTGGGAAAAATTTTTTACATCAGGGGATTGTAATGTCGCAAAAGAAAGAAGAGAATCCAAAGTTTTTGCTAAAAATGGAAGTGAATTTTAAAGTAAAAACAAGGTTACTAGTCAACGTCGCAAGCAGTATATATTGCCCACCTCTTTTTCCGCCTTGAGCATTTTCCTCATCTAAAATATTCACTTTTCTTTTACCTGATCGAATAAAGAATAAAGTAACTGTAAATTTCCTTATTTAAAAGGCAAAACACTTACCAGTGTTGACAGGTGGTTGTGCGATGATGCGGATGTTACTATTTTCGGATTCGTTGTGAAAAACTGTTTCCAAAGTAGCGTTTGGGAGCAACCTCACACCTTTATATTTACTAATGTTTTCGGCATATATTTTCGTGTCTATGGTTTCCATACTGATAGGAATATCCACCTTCCATAACATCAGTTCATTTGGGTCAATATTGATGAAGGCGTTCTTTTTCTCCTCACGGATTGACTGTTTAAGGTGCCCAAGGGTCGTGCCTTTATCGATATCGACCGGGAAAGATTTCCCAATAGCGTCACCTGAAACAAGACAGAAAATCTTTCTGGACTCATTAGAATAAAATTTATTAAACCTGAATTTCAACCGTTCAGTTATTACAAGGAGTCTATTATACCGTGATTTCGGACATGGCTTGGCTATGAGCTTCCAAAAAATAATGATAACGATAAATAAAAATGATCTAGTGTGGGCGAAATCAATTTATCGATCATTATTATGCATGATAATACGTGTACATGTACATGTATATAGGTTTAACTAAATAACGATAACGATAACGATAGCGATAACGATAAGGGGCATGTCTAAAGCCTGGTCCATCCGATAATCAGTCCGAAACACAAACCAATAAGGATGCGTAAATTTTTGATCAACTCGGCAAAGCAAATCCGAAGCGCGGGCAAAATATCGAAAAACAGATGCTTAAATCTATCTTTGAGGCAATTTTATATATACCGTAAAGTCCCGAAAGTAAGCAACCCCCGAAAATAAGCAACCCCTATATATAATAGATATGTATATATATAATAATAAAAGATATTTATAAATAACTCGACAACCAGTGATCCAAATTGAACGAAACAACTACCGAAATGTTCGTTTCACTGAGACGAATCTAACGAGCTATAGCACGCTCGATTGGGACAACTTGTTGCCGAGAGATTTACATTTTTGCGAGAGACTCGAAAATAAGCAACCCCCCTTAAAAATCGATCTAAAAATGATGACGTAGAGGGTTGCTTATTTTCGGGACTTTACGGTAATCTTGATTACAACTCTAACCCTAACCCTAAGCTTAAAATCAATCTTTAATTACATTGTTATATATCACGTGATTGACCAGGTTTTAGACGTTCCCGAAATAAGGTAAGTTTGATTGATAATAGAATTAGAATCTGATCATATATTTTTTCACCCAACTCCTTAAGATACTCCGGAATAACTATATTCAGATCTTTGTAATACCGTACGTATTTCGATAAGAACTATCCAATTTTCATCGCAGAGTTCTCTTGAGCTGATCACGTATTAATTGCTTCTCAAAGTCTTTCTCATTTTTATGAAAGTGCTTTATGCATTG